TTAGCCCCACATCGGTCCGCAGTAAAATACTTTCGCCTTGCCGTTCGATACTGATGATGGGCCCATCGGCCGCGCCCTGATACGGCAACAACACCCGACTGCCATTCACCTTTACACGCAGCTTTTGACCCAAATTCACACGCATACCGCGCATTTTCAAAGTTACCGTTTTCGCCCACGACGACCGCTTCGTGCCGCGCCCATCATTCGTCAGACGTATGGAGAAGGAATGATCACGGCAATCGGCAGCGAGCAGATATTTGCACGAACCCTGAAAGCTGAAGAATTTGCCGTCGAACGTTTTGAAGTGCGGATCACCGAAGACAGTGCAGGTGCCAGCGGTCTCTAGGCAACGTGGACAACACTCACCCGGCAAAGTTTTCTTCTCCTCATTCGAACGACACCTCACCGCCGCACAGCGCATTTCGGAACAGCGTATATTGCCGGCAGTACAGCGACACGAGCGGCATGGACCCAAATTCCAAGTCTCGTTATTCATGTAGGTAATACCGTTGTGTATGCATTCGCTGCGCACTTCCGATGTGATGCAGCGTGGGCAGCAGCCGTCCATTTCCTGATACTCGGGCGAGCATTCTAGCACGGGGCAGGTGTTGCGCTGACACACCGATGTGCCATTGCTGCAGGTGCAATTTGTGCAGCGATCGGGCGTGAATTGAGTCTTATCGTAGTAGACTTTGTTGTTGAAAATGCATTTGCCTGGAAGGTGGAAAATAAACGAGAGATAAGATATTAGAAACGAAAGGAGTAAAAAAGTGCGAAATGATTTTGTAGAAAGATAAGCTATTTAGCTGAGTACAGCTGCGATCTTTGTTTGCCTAATTTACACGCTCCCCATATTATAAGCATCTGAGTACTTGCATCCCTAGCTTGTATTTCGTACTCACCAGTTACTGGCATAAACTCGCGGTGCTCGGTACAACGTGGACAACACTCGTTGGGATTTTGTGTTTGCTTTGAAATGGGACATTGTAGTATTGGACATGTCTTCTTGGCACAGGTTAGTTTATTTTGCGAACACTGACACACCATGCAACGATCGTCTATCGAGCCGACTACTTCCTGCCCCTCGGCTACAACTTGTCCATTGATCTTACAACCTGGAAATAAAATTAAGGTACATGGTAATTATTCATGTATGTATATGAATTTACGCCAAAAACAAAATTGACTCTCAGTAATTTAAATATGCATTAATTTGTCCTCACTCGTTTCGCTGTGCCGTTAATTGCGTTAATTGTGTATGAAATTTCTGTGTCACATAAGCGGCAGAATAAAAGTTTAGCAATTACTTTTTCTTAAAATTTCTGAAATTTTACTTAAATTTATTGGAATAAAACGTGCAGAAGGTCTGAAATTTGAATAAAAAGCAATTGCTTAGTTTTCGTTCATACGGCCCAAAGTCTAATTTATTTCAATAAAACTTGGTATACACTTAAACACAGCCAGAAAAAGTAGATTTAAATTTTTTTCTGTTTTTTAATCCCCTTAAAAATATTTTCACACCATAACCTTCTTAAATCTCTTTCAAGTGGAATTTTATTTTTCAAACAGGTGGTAACCCTCCTACGCGTAGCCTTTTCGCAACCATTTCGCTTGATACTCATATTTGTCATAATTTATTTAAACTGTTAAGTAATTATAACTACATATTCAATAATTAGAATTAAATAAGATTTTTTAGCAGGTGGCAATCCCCTTAAAACACTCCAGAAATATTATTAATGTTCAAGCTAAAGATTTCTTAACACTTTTTCGTTTATCACCCGTATTCTGAATTTGCATATAACCTGTGTATAATTTAATTAACCTTGACTTTTCAAACAGGTGGTAACCCCTTCAAAATATTTTCAAACTACAATTTTATTAAGCTACTTTCTTCTGACACTAACATTGTGATATTAGTTGATAATTCCCTTAAGTTGAATTTGATTTATTAAACAGGTGGCAACCCTGCTGCATGTAGTTTATAAATGAAGCCTTTTCGAACCATTTCGCTTGATATCCATATTTGTCATAATTTATTTATCTCTGCAAAATGTTTTCAAACTACAACCTTCTAAACTTCTTTTAGCTGACACTCATATTATGCCATATGTAGTATATTTATGTAAAACACCTAAATCCTTAATTCGAATTGCATTTTATTTTTAAAATAGGTGGCAACCCTGCTACATGTAGTTTAGAAATAAAGCCTTTTCAGAACAATATTGTAATAATTTACCCCCGGCGAGTTCCGAGGTTTGTACTTTCCGGATTTGTGTTCATTCGTGCGACATGACCCATCGTTCAATCGTATGCGTTATTTGGAGCTGCCACACACACAAAGCCCCGTAAATCTTTCGCAGAAGCACGCCGAAGTGCGCTTGGTGTATGACAAGAGATAACTTTACTGTTCTCAGTGAAACAGAAATTAGCCAAACTACATAAATTCGATTTTTAATCTTAAGCAAACTTATTATTTTCTATAATCCAACTATCGCTGCAAACTTTGTAATTTCAATCTGCTAGATATGTGTATGTAGTACAAAATCTTATAAGCAAGTTTGTTTCTACTATATCTATCCATATGTACATAAATTAGGGTGCCTCACCTCACCAAAAAAAAGTTGCGGTCTTTCCACCAGAGTTATAAAATTTAATATATTTTAGGGCGTGGACTAGACCAATTTGTAAATTCCTCCAAAAATCTAATTATTTTGATTTCGTTGATAAAATTTTTAAATATTCTTATGCAGACCTTTTAAGCTTAAACTCGTCTATCATTGATTTTTATAAAACGCTTGATCTTCTGCGGAGTTTTCAAACAGTCTCAGGTAAATATTAAGTTTTGCCAAATATTTTCGCGGAGGCCGTAAAACATAATAAATTGGAAAAAGAGTACAATTGTTTTTTTTTT